AGCACTGGTCAAAAGGTCCCAGCAGAGGTTATACTACATGGGACTTTTCAGGAAACAACAACGGAATTAAAAATTGTTGATGACCTTCTACCGCTGCACTATAGAAAGCATCTTAACTTACTGCATCTGTGTATGGTTTGCTAATTGCACAGTGGCAGATAGGACAGTGCTCCAGAGGGTCAACATAATTGTCCAGAGGATCATTGGTTGCCCTCTCCCCTCCTTGGAAGAGCTTCATAGCTCCCTCTGCCTTAAGAAAGTTCAAAATGTTTTTAAAGATCCATCTCATCCGGGGCACCCTTTTTTTTTTAACTATTACCATCTGGCAGACTGTACAGGACAATAAAAACAAGGACAAATAGGCTGAAAAACCTTCTTTCCCAGAACTGTAACGATGTTGAATTCTACTGTATAGTGCAATATTAATGGAGTATCAGGGGTTTTCAATTCAATTGTGTAGAGTGTGATGGATATGTCTTTTTGTTTTATTTTTTATAGTTTTCTTAGGTATGATGTACACTGAAGATGGCATTTAACTTCATTATATGAAGGTGCAATGACAATAAAATAAACTTAAACTTAAGGTAGAGCATAATATCAATGCCTCTCATAAGTGGACAAATAAATGAAAATCTGATAGCTTGAATATCAGCTTCTCATTTTTTCTTCTGCCCTAATTTCTAGATTGTTGGGTTTGTTGATTCTTTGCTAAAAGGTAATAATATTGCTCTATCCACCATCAAACTTCTTTCCCTTGGCGTGGACTATCTTCTACATCTCTGGGAAGATGATATGACTGCCCCCAGGTTCCAATAAGTCACCATTTTAAGAATTGACTAAGAGAAAATGTTATGATTAACTCATCTTGCTATTATCCCACTATGTCTGCCTGCAAGAGATAACTTCTAATATACGTTTGTGAAGAGGACATTTGCCCACTCTTTATAATTGAGTTTTTAATCTTGGTTTGTCCTTTTTTGACATTTGTAATAGACTATTTTCTCTGGAATGGAGATAATCCTTTCTCCAAAACCCAAGAGATTAAAAAAGGATGTAAGCAATGTATTGCAACAAAGAATATAGTGTATGATCATGGAAAGATTGGCTGGTCCGGGTAACTTGATGGGATATAACACCCCCCTCTGTGGTGTGTGTGTGTGTGTGTGTGTGTGTGTGTGTGAGAGAGAGAGAGAGAGAGAGAGATTTGGTTCATGTTTACAATCATCACACTATATCATCGTAATTACTATTTCTGCTATATGCCTGCTAGTTTCTGGATTTTTAAAATAGTCTTTCTTATTATACTATTATAGAGATATTTTGTTGTGCAAATTAGATCTTAGCACAATGAGACTGAGTGATCTCTCTGGTATCATCCTTCCTAGCTTGGTGTCCTCTAGAGATACTGGTTGATAACTTTCAAAATTCCCACCCAATTCATTGCCAAGTGTTCTGAGTATTGAAGTCCTGTACTGCCATTTTAAGAACAATGTACTGTGTTAGACTGTCAAGCAGGAGATGAGTATATCTGCAGGGGTTGGAAGGCTTAGCTACCTGAAAGCAATACTTAATGACTCCTGGATATGTTACATGACTTAGTTGGGAAAATGGGAGTTGAAAGAAAAAACAGAGTTTGTTTTGTTCACAGTTTTCTATATAAGCAATCCAAGAGAGCACAAGACAACTGCATGGATGCAGCCTATGGCGGTTAAGTTTTACTTAAAGCTGCCTTATATGTCCATAGCAGAGGGTGGGAAATTGGTGCAATTGGTGCAATTTAACCCATTTATACTTGGACGTAGGTCCCACTGTGTTCCATGGGCTTTCTTCCTTATTCAGTCAATTTAAAATGTGAGCCCAAATTCTGCAGCTGGCTGGAAATAAGGAGATCTGCAAGAATGCATTATTGCTTTTTGGAAAGACTTGTTAGCTTAGAGCAAAAGCCAAACATCTGCATTCATATAATGTGCTACCTCCAAAAGAATTAAGCCATATTATAACTTGATATGATTCATACAACATGTGAAGATACTGAACGACTACCTCAGTTTACCCAACCCCATTTTAATCTAATCTAGCAGGTTGTACAAACCTAGTCAAACTGTTTCAGAACTGGAATCACATGCTTCCTTGACTAAGTTTCCTTAATTTTTGTTCTGTATAATTGTAAATTAAATAGGGAGAACTGTAGCTATCTAGATACAAAATATTATTGAATTACAGCTCCCAACATCCCTAGTGAACATGACCAGCAATAAAGAATACTACAGTTTTAATTTAGCAGTAGTTAGTGGGTCACAAACTATCTATTTGAGTAATAAATTTCAATGCATATAATTTAAAATAAACCAAACTCCTTCCACCTTAGAAAATGCACACCTAGCCCACTTCATATGACAATCTTATTAACTTCAATAGTCTGTAGTGAACTCCAGAGAAGTAAAACATAATTTCCAATTGGTTGTAATAACTGTATTCCAACCAATTATACGCAGGTGTCCTGTCCTATTCTCATAGCATGCCAGTCAGCACAAATTCAGACAAATCTCTGTATTTTAGTACATAATTACTTTAACCGGATGGAAAATCATCATTTGGGACACACAATGTTCTCCCTTGACTTAAGTGTTCCCATAAGGCAATCAACAAATGGTGCTAACTTAACTTGTTTTGAATTAACTTTAACCCGTGGGAGAAATTTGGTAGACACTTTTCAGGCTAACACATTTTATTCAAAAGCATAAACTCTTGTTAGCTGGTAAAGGTACTACCAAACTCCTGAGGTTTTTTGTCACCATGGACTAACACTTCCTCCTACAATGTCTAATCCTTGGGAATTAATTGTCTAGGTTAATTGATCCATTCTTAGTATTTCTATAATATCCTAGCTCCCTCATTAACCCTGGTAGGCATGTTGTGAAAATAGAGCTAGAATGTTGGGTTTGACTCAGAAGAGATTAAGTTCCACATTAATATGTATTGTCAGATGCAGCTGCATATGTTGGGAGAGTGGGAGGAGGGATGAATTTTGGCAACGAAAAAGTTGGGAATATACTTGTAAACAAAAGAAAGAGATAATAATGGAATATTAAAGTAAAAGCTCAGAAAAGAGCAGAGGATTGAAGTATCTTAATATGGACCTGTCTGTAAAGAAACTTTTACATGATGATGCGTATTTGCATTAGCAAATGGGCTTACCTCAGACAATTTACTTTGTAAATAAAAACCATAACTGAAGACAAAATTGAAGAGGAGATGTAATGCTATGTAGGAATGACCCTGGGAGAGAGGATAAAGAGCTGCAGCCTAGAAAACCAGAAATGGATTTTGAGGGATGGGGTTAGGAGGGGTAGGGTGGAGAATGTGTCTCAGAAGGGACTCTGCCTAGTTTTTGGAGAGGAAACGTAAGGGATGGGAGTGGTGTATTCAAGTTTGCATGATTCTGTTAATGCAGCCATTCAATAAAAGTAGAGACATTCACGGTTGTTCTTCTTGTCTGAACTACTTTAAAGAGATAAAAGTTCATTCTACCTGCACACATAATGCTCCAGAAGTAGAGCTGCCCCTGGTGCAATCAAACTCATATCAGAGGTGGAATTCAGCAGGTTCTGACCAGTTCTGGACAGTGGTGGGATTCAGCCAGTTCGCACCACTTTGGGAAAACCAGTTCTTAATTTTCTGAGCAGTTTGGTGAACTGGTTGTTGGAAGAAATCATTAGGGCAGAGAACCAGTTGTTAAATTATTTGAATCCCACCACTGGTTCTGGAGAACCAGTAGCAGAAATTTTGAGTAGAAGAAGAGAACTAGTAAATACTACCTCTGACTGGCCCCGCCCTCATCTATTCTCTGCCTCCCGAGTCCCAGCTGATTGGGAGGATATAAGGATTTTGCAGTAACCTTCCCCTGGAGTGGGGAGGGAATGGAGATTTTACAGTACCCTTCCCCTGCCATGCCCACCAAGCCACGCCCCCCAAGCCATACCACGCCCCCCCACCAAGCCACACCCACAGGACCGGTAGTACAAAAAATTTGAATCCCACCTCTGACCCATATCGTTGATGGGTGGCAATGAATCAGGAAAAAGGAGAATAAACTACCATAACAAGGATGACGACCCCTCAGACTTAAGGCTTAATTTGTTTGCTTGAAAATTTTTTGTTCAGTTTTTTGTTCAGAAATGATGAGGAGCTGGACCTCAAAGAGGTGCTACCTGTGAAAGGGTTTTCTGACAACTTTCCACAAACTGTTGACCTCAAACATGCAAGGCTACATCTCATTGAATTCTTAATTAGCATCATTCTGCTGGAAGTTCAGTGTGTCTGTTGAGCATCAAGTTAAGGAAAGCTTTTATTTATTTTTCAGTTATGGGCTGCAACAATCTAGATGACTTCCAAATGACAATATTTTCCTCTATTTCTTTGCTATCCTTTAGTGGTCCTCCCAATTTTTTGTAGTCTATGTATGGCCTGGATTTTAGCATTAGAAACCTGTATGTTTATAAGATGAGCAAGCAGAGCTTTAAAGTTGTGATGAGAAAGCATGTAGTCATTGAAAGTGTGTCGATCACAATGCTACAGTAGAAATAGAAAACTAATTTATTAATCTTTTCTTTTTCTTTTTGCTATGTACAAGTTTAATGGAGAAATCTTTGTGCCTGAAATCAAAAAGGACAGAATTTGTTTCCCTTTTTAGATATTTAACATTCAATAATTAACAGAAGAAAAATACCCAAGCCAGCTACATCATTTCTTTATCGATCATGCGTCTTGTCTGAAAATTGTTAGCAGGCAGCAGTGAAGAGGAATTCACTTGCTCCTGGTCCTGGCAATTAATAAAACACATCTTTGAAAATGACAGCATGGAGACAGCAGGCTTGACAAAATACATGCCATGGAGAGAGAAAGAAAATGGGGAACTGATAATAAAAATCCACAAATACCATAGCACTGCCATATTAAAGATGTCAACCCCCAGTGGGAAGCAAATCAGGGATTGTTTTTTTAAATTCTGGGTAAATCTCCATTTTAAAAAAAACTCTGAAGCCTTAAACCAGGAGTTGGAATCTGGTTTCATATCCAGTTTTCCTAAGTGATCAAAAACACCCCAAATGCACAGGAGCAAAACTTGGTCTTCTTTCTAAGGAACAGGCTTGGAAAGATTCTGAATTGGATCCATGGAAACTGCTGGTGAGAATGAAGTCGGCTGCTGCATTTTGGAAAACTCACTTCCCCGATGAAAATGATTTTTCCTAAACATAGTAGGGTAATATAATAGAAGGAAAGAGTTACCATTACCTGCTCTCTAGCGTGTTAACCATACTAAATGTAGATTCCCCCCCCCCAATTTTATTTATACAAATGTAAAAATTGTGAAATATTATTACACAAAGCGATTCTGAATTTTATTTCAAAGAAAATAGACTTCCCTTCCGATGCTAAGACTGGTTGGCTGATCATTGATAAAGCAGAATAGTACGAAGGGGGTTGGCTTCTTTGGCCATGGCAGCTCTGAAATCAATTCACAACATGTTCATAATCTGAGAAGGAAACGACAACGACAACAACGACAACAATCCAGGAAAAGTCCATTTGTTTAAATCTCATTCGGTTCCTTCAGGTCATCAGCCAAGTCATCGTACTCAATGGAACGTGGGGACATCCCCAGATACTGCTTCAGGAATTGACTGAACCTTTTCTGGTTGTGCCACTTCCGGGCGGATTTCCGAACACCGATGAAGCCTCCAAATCGTTTTTGGAGCGCTTGCACCTCGGGCTCTTCCATCTCCCCGTAGTTGAATGGGCCCCTCAGGAAATCACCCACCCTCTTGGGAATCTTGAGCTGATCCTGTAAATCCCCAAGTGGAGTTTGGCTTCCATCACTAGTGTCATCTTCTGCCTTTGGCTGACGGATGAGACCACTCAATTTGGACACTTGCTTATCTTCTCCATCGCTGAGATCCAGCATTCTGGTCAGGTCACTGTGATGTTTCAGGTTACTTCTGGCTGCTTTCAGGCTGCCATCCCACATCTCCAGTGGCCATTTCATTTCTTCCAGGCTACTGTGGTCTAGGGACAAAGAACTTTTTCTGCTGATGGCTTTATTGCAAAGTCCCCAGGTAGCACTGGAAAACAGTTTCCCTTCACACTCCATTACACAGATCTGTAGGGAGGAAACAAGGACACTTAGTAATATGCCTCACTTTCTGAATGTAAGGAAAGGTACACATCATAATCATTGTGTCAAGGCTCTGACTAACAAACTCAAGCAAATCAGAACTCTGAGACCTGGCTCCTTTTCAGTCCTCTTTAATGAGTACATCATATCGGCACAGCTTCAAAGGAAAACCAAATCTAAATCTTTCCCACAGTTTTAGTATAATTAAACTAGGAAATAACCCCATCCCCAAGTGTTGCAGGTCACATTGGCCAATTGGGTTAATTGGCGGGCTCCTTCCCCAACCTTATCTGTTGCCAGTAGAGATGACCTTGGTTCTTATGAGAAAGCTCTTTGTTGTGCCTAGTAATGCATTCTCCTTCCCCTCTTCCACCTCTGGGTGGCAACTGAGGAACATAAAGATGGTTGTGGCTAGGTTCAGTTCAAAGTCGACACTTTGCTGAAGAAAGTCAAAGAGGTATATTACAGTAAGTTATGTTTTAAAATAATCCTGTTTCTGCTTTTTCTTAGGCATATAGCTTAATTTACAAAGAGTGAATTTTAGAATCCATGGTTGCAATAGAGAATGTAACATTCCTTCTGATTTCCTTTCCTGGAAATTCTTTATGACTTTCCTTAAATCCTACAGGTTTACAGACTAATTCAGAAGTCAATACATTTGTTTGGATTTGGTCTTTGCAGTGAATTCACCAAGTATTTTTACTCATGATCTGACAGATAATGGTAATCTAATAGTAGTAGTGGTAGAAACAGAAGACAGTTCCAAATCAGTCTCCTATTATATGAATAGTGGCCACTGAAGACTGATAAGAACTGTCATTCAAAATGGAATTGTTCCATTATTTCCTAGGAGGTTGGTGAGAAAATGCCATCAATCTTTCAATATGCTACAACTTTTGGATTTCTTTTTCTGGTCCTATCTTCTAAAATTGTTGTTTTTCGCTTAGTCTTGCTCATTCTTCTGTAGATTTAATCATGGAGAAGATCTATGTGCAGAATTCTCAGAAGCCAGATGCTCAGGCTGTGTTGCTGTTGAATCACCAGATCTGTCAGAAATTAGGAGTTTGTTCTCTGATGGTGATTATTAATAAGAACAGCCACTCCAGGATGCCTTCAAGAATCTAGCTGTGAGCCCAGTCAAAGGGGGTTCTGGAAACTGCACTCCAGCAATAGAAATAACATTATACTGCTTCATAGTGTTTTACAACCCTCTCTAAGCTGTTTACAGAGTCAGCATATTGCCCACAACAATCTGGGTCCTCATTTTACCCACCTTGGAAGGATGGAAGGATGACTCAACCTTGAGCTGGTCAGGATTGAACTCCTGGCAGCGGGCAGAGTCAGCCTGCAATACTGCATTCTAACCACTGTGCCACCACGGCTCTGCTGAATAGATGCAGGACATCAGCTTGTNAATATGTTAATGTAGTGTATTGCTGCTATTATATCTTTTATATCTATTCATTTCTAATGTTCCAAATTATTAGAAACAATAAACATCTGATCTTAAAGTAAGAATTATTGCTTGTGTTGTTGCCTTTGTTGCCCTATTGGAATTTTCTTATGACAATAGCCTGGCCATAACAATCTGGAGCAGCTCATGTTTTCAAATATTTTTAAAGAGTGTTTTACAATAGTTGAAACAACATGTACTCAGCCAGGAAAGAGCAAATTGGCATATTACTACTGGCAAAGGAAGCACCTCTTGACTGCCATGAAAATCTTAATATCCTGGCTCCCAACTAAGACAATAGTAACCCCATTACAAATCTGAGTCTGGGAGATGTGAAAATGTAGCATGTATGTATTGGAGTGGTATAATTCAGATTAGGGTGGACAAACATCCAAACACTCCAAATGTTTTAAAGTTTGCCCTCTATCCAGTTCCATCCCTGGCTGACTCATCTTTTGTCGTCTGCTCTGCTTCTCCTTCCTCTCCCACAAGGCAGAGGACTGTAAAAAAAATCCAAAGGGCAGGATATGGTAGAAAAATGTTGGGTGTTTTCTGCATTTGTTTGCTGCCATCTTGTATTTGTTTTCCCAAAGGATTCTAAATAAAAAAAAAAAGAATGAAGAAAAGGCTGGAAGATGAGACTATGTTATTTAACAGCTTGTTTAAGAAATATGAGTAATTAGATGTTCCGATTGTTTCTTAGAAACAATCAACTAATGGATCTCTCTACTAAATCACTAGTATTATAGAATTTGTTGCCCTAATATACACTAGAATGGGCTAGAGTCTGTATGAAAGACATGTTCCAAGATGCTTGGAGGAGGAGTTGCATGGTTTGTTCAGTAACATCTAGCAAGACTTGTATTTCTGTCTGAACTGGAACAGCAACACTGGGAGATGTTTTGCATCAATATTTTTCTTTCTTCTTTTTTCTGAATCCATGGGGGGAAAATGTGTGATGTTGTTTATCCTTTGTATTCCTGAAGAAGAGCTAAGGCTTCCTTATTTATTTATGTATGAAGCAGGATTTAGTAGACGTGGACATTATTGGCAATCTTGCCAGTAAATCTAATTAGATGAAACGTGGAACTATTCAGTCCAGAAAACTCTAAATCATTCAAATGAAGTGGAGAAGGAATCTCCAGCCAAACTTGCCATGAGTCAGTTGCAGATGATTACGCATTGTTGCTTTCTGATTTTTGAAATCTTTACCCCAATGGTATGTTATTGGACTTTTGTGTCACGTATTAAAAATAAATGGAGCTTCAGACTTCAAATATGCTGGATAAAATGTATCAAGAGTTCCAAAAGTGTGATTTGAACTCTATCTTAATTAGAATTAATTCCATAATAGAGACTTAATTTAGAAGTTTCAGAAAGCATTCTTGGGCTTCTCTGAGATTAAAACCTGGTTCAAAAAAATTCAGAGAACTTAATGGTCATTATGATAGTATCCATAAATATTCAAAAGAAGTGTTGGGACCTTTTACCTATTCTAGTCCAATAGAAGTTTGATGTAAGGGTTGCTGTTAGTGAATTCTCCAGATTCTCCTGCCAGAGCTGTGTGATAAACAAGGGACATATGGCAGGCATTTTTAAGAGAGAGAAAAGACCATCCCAAAGTTTTGTTGGCTCAGAAGGGATGGACAAAATCCAAGTTTGCAGTCTTGGGACTGTCATAGATAGAGGACAGATTTTCTGTGCTAGTACACACAGTACTCCTTTGTATGTATGGTTTCCTCAAATTGGCAATAAAGCACTTATCTAATGTTAAGAATATTAAATGGGAACATCGACATGCACATACACACAGAGATACATAGACAGATAAACACAAACCACATTATTCGGGTGTATTCATCTGTTTTTAACTAGCTGGGTCTTCTTGTATGAAATCTCCTAAATTCACCAGAACTGCAATTTTCCAATGAAACTTTTATTGGATATAGGCATCTACTAGCTGTGTTTGCTATTCTCCATTCTACAGTATATGCTACCTATTTCAACTCTTCTTTCTTCATCTTATACCAGTTGCAAGAATCTTCTGGCATCAATCATGTTTTAAATCCCTTTAAATATATGCCTAGTTGCATGGTCTAATCCTTCTCCAATAAATCACTCCAGAGTGCACCTGTATCTAAATGGCTTGCACATCTACCTATTTCTGTCTAATCTATCTAAGCCACATCTAGTTCTAAATTTATCTATAGTACTAGCAAGTATAATAAGAAAAGTATACATAAAAATCAAGCCTGCAGAAAGAATTTCATAGCTGATTTGATTAAATGTGAAATCACTTCTCTTCCATAAAACTCTGCCCAACCATTTTAAAAGTTTCAAAGTATCCATATTTTTACCTTCAAACTCACACAGATAAGCCATCAAATTCTGTTTGCAGCAGATCTATTCATTTGCAAAAATTGCTATACTATTTTGTCACATCTGAAAGTATTGAAAAAACCACATTGAACTAAATCCATCTATGTGCTTTAACCTGAGATCCAACCTTTGCTACTCTTCCAAGCATCCTGGAACATGTTTTCATATAGACTCTAGCCCCGTGATGGAGAATCTATGGCACATGTACCCAAAGTAGCATGTGGAGCGACGTCGCCCGGCACGCATGGTGTCATTAGTTCCTCTTCCGGATTTCTGGCATGCATGCACATGCAATGATCAGCTTGCTTTTGTGCATGTGGAAGTGCCAGAAACCGGAAGAGCTGGTCTTCCATTTTCTGGTGTAAGCATGTGCGCCAGCCAGCTGAACAGCATGTGCACATACGCAGCAGTAACTGGAAGACTTGCTGGAAGTTCCTTTTCCGGCACACACATGCCCCCTGGACAGCTCCTCTTCCTAGTTGCAGTCCAGATGAGCGCATGTGCCCTCCCTTTTTAGCACTCGGTGCCAAAAAAGTTTGCCATCACTGCTCTAGTGCATTCTTCGTGTTACTCTCTTTTACAACGTAAGGCAATTCTGGATCTTATATTGCTTACAAATTTTAAATTTCATGTTACATCTTCAGAAGCAGAGAACCTATTAAGTTGAAGGTATCTTAATGCGTGATTTGTTTAAGGATCCACCAACATCATCAATAGGAAGCCTCACTTGAAAAGTTATAGCGCAAGGAAATTTACGCTACTCTAGGCTGACTGTTCCACTGCTTAATGGTTCTTAACAATTAAGAAATTCCTCCAAACATTCAGCTTGAATCCTATTCCATATTTCCCTCCAACACAACTCAGAGACACTTACAAAAATACAGAGCTGAAGAATTTTCTTGGATGAGAAGTGAAACGTCTTCAAAGAAAAACCAGAAAGTCCAATAGCCTCTTGAAAAAGCACCTTTGGGATAACCATGACCTGATGACTTAGACTCTCTACAGACTTTTAGCTATGCAATTTAAGATGAACACCTTTCAAATGGTGTGGGAGTATGAATGGATTTCCAGAAAAATTGCAGACTACATGAAACTTTAGCACTACTCAGGCAACCCTGAGGACACAGATAAACCTCCAAGTGCTTCAA